ATAAAGGAATGCGGTATGAATGCTTGGCCACTTTGCAAGGTCTCCGGGGAATTCTCTAGCCCCGAATTCTAAGGTTTTTATTCTCTGAAGAGCGTGTGAACCACTTTTGACAGAATTGCAGTTGGTCAAAGGGAAGATGGTTTCGGATTCCACTGGGGATGCATCTTAAAGATGGCTGAGATAGTTGGGAGCTAATAAAAATAAGCAAGACAGCGATTGCCTTAATTAACGAACCGTTTCATCTGCACCTCCTCCTCCTTCGGAGGGAACTGGAATGTGGCCCTTGTGAAAGGGTCATGCGATCGTGAAGCAAATAATCATTTCAAACTAAACCCATTTCAAAGATCCGCCACAAGCGAAATCCCATCACGAAAGTCAGAATAGAGCAGAGCACTCAAGTCTGAAATCACAAAACATCTATTAAATTATAGCAAAACTTTAATGCTCAACTCTATCCATTTGGATTACGTGCCCCAACTTTTTTTTATAAAGAAAAAGGGATTTTTTTTATCATCGTCCCTCCCCGCTTCCACAGTGTGGTCTCTCCGGCAATGAGAACGATACAGTTATTAAGGTCAGCCAAATCGATATTTGGGATTTGGCAGTGGAGCAAGTAAGCGAGACTGTGAAAACTGAAAATGTTTACACTGGAGAAAAGGAGATTAAGGGATGATCCTATTGACGTTTTCTGGATCCTAAAGGGAGATGGATAGGATGGGCTCCAATAACATGCTTGATATAGTCAAGCTGCCCACAACAAGAGGTCAGGCTCAAGTTCAGAAGGAGAAGAGGATATTCTAGACTTGCACTACTTTACCGAAGGGGGTGGGGTGGGTGACGATGTAGAACAGATTGTTCAGAAAGACAGTGGAGGCATATAACACTGATATTTTCAAGAAAGAAATCTACGCGACATTGGTAAGGTGTTAATTGTGGAGGATGAGACAACAAGCGATGATATTTTATAAAGCGGTAGGTTGACATTGATTGAGGGTCTTTTCTGGTCTGAATATTCCTGTGTAAATGTGCAGCAGATATAATAAATATAAGGGAAATGGTACCAGGGTAAAGCGAAGGCAGCAAACAAGGTCAAGACATCTGAAAATATGGAGTGGATGTCTGAAATATGGAGTAAGTTTCAGTAGGACTGACGAGAATAAAAACTGTGAAGATGTCGCTAACTCGGATTTCTTTCTCAACTGGCTGGAGGTAATGCGAGAACAGCTTTGCGTCATGTCTATACTGAGCGCTGGTAATGTAATCCACGTGCGGTATTCAAATCTACACAGTAGGACAGCGTGGAATTGACCCGTTTATATTGTTCGGTGAATTCGCCCTCCATCAAGGAAGAGGCTGAATTCCAAACGGATTGTGGGTCAGTCTCAGTCTCCTGTCTCGCTTGCTGTGGTGATGGCATCAACAGGGTGAGGATCTCCTCGAACCTCTGCTCATTTCCACAGCTTCCCCGGAAACGCCCTTCTCTTTCCGTTGAGCATCTCCCCTGATACGAGACTCCACCACTGCCAACGGATGTGAAAGGCGCTATGCAAATGTAATTTGTTGTTGTTGTGGACCAAAATAGGCCACCTTTGCCTTGATCGCAACTGTGTTTGGGGGGGGAACGCTGCTGTGCGCAATTGGCTGCCGCATTTTGCCCGCAAAGTATACGTCAATTTACTTTACAGTACATTCTGTGAAGTGTTTTGAGACATTTCAATGACGTGATAAGTCAAATGCAAGGATTAATATTATTATTATTATTATTATCAACATTTGCTCCAAACTCTTGAGTTTTAAACACAATAACACCACCATATTCCTAAAGCCCCCGCAGTTCCCTTGATGCTAGTCTTTGGATGCCCAGTTTGCTGACCCCATATTGGGATTGGAGACAAAAACCATGAAGTTGTTATTTACTGGAAGGCAAGATTAAATGCATTTGCCGGGGAAATAACTAATGATTTCCATTGAAGGTGAAGCACCAGTGACCGACTGTGATGGAATTAACTTCAAAAGGAATAGAACAATGTCTGTCTGATGCCCTACATAATTTGATGTTTCAGAGTTAGTCAGGCCTGAATGTACTGGCTTGTACTCACTGCAGTATCTCTCTCTCTCTCTCTTTCCCTCGCACAACCGTGGCTTGTGGTGACCCGACTACGGACCCCAAACCGCGAGGAAACCCAGAGCTCACAACGGGCAGCAGAAAGCTAAGCTGCGGTCGACTTTGATTTAAAACAAAAGACGGACACAAAGCGGTGGAACGGACATAATGTACTGAGGCATCAGGGTGTCTCTGTGACTAGACAGAAACGATTTTTACATCGAGTCATGCTCATTGGAAACCAAAGAATGTTCCTGTGGGTGTATAACAGTAATCATCTTTGTAATAATGCTGCGTTTGGCCCGGAAAATATACAGTCAATCCACGTTACGGTATATTCTGTGGAGCGCTTTGAGACGTCTCAACGACATGATAAGGGGTCGTGTCAAATGCAAGTTACATCATATGATCGTTATTACCATCCTTGCAGTTAATATGACACCTTTCACATTCAAAGGGCATATTTACTGTTTTTCCTGTTGAAGTGTAGTAACTGTGTATTTTGCAGACGAACAGAGCAGCCAGTTTGCACACATCAATGTTCCAGAAACAGAAACACGCATGACGTGAGTGACTGCAGCTGATGCTAAGCTCAGGCTCCCGGTGCGCTGTTAGGCGTCAATCTGGACCCAGCTATTTAACGTGTATCCCTCAGAAAAATAAACATCCCCTCTCTCCCTCTGCACCTCCCCCTTCAGACGTTAATGGTGAAGAGCTTTTGAGTTCTGTGCAGGGGAGTGGAAATGGGAACAGTACAGTGTGCTTGTACCACACAAGAACTGCTGGCAAAAGCCCAGCGAATGGCCACCAAGCTCGACAGAGCAAAATACTTATTTGGAGGAGGTTGGTTCAGGGAATAAAGCAGCTACAAGGTGTTACGAGGTGCAATCAATCACAGGCCAGCACGGTCAGGTCATATAATAATCTTTGCAGCTGGTGACAGTCACCGCTTCGAGACGTCTCGAAGCTCTTCACAGAAGATACCGTGAAGTGAATCGACTGGACGTTTCGTGGGCGAAACGCGGCAGCCTTTGCGCAAAGCAGCGTCCCACAAGCAGTCGTGGGTTGAGCGACCAAATTATTATATATAGGCAAAAAAAAAGTGGTGAAATGTGCACGAGCAGCTAAAGCACTGTGCGACATCTCAACACTTAATTTGGCACTGTATAAAACGCAAGGATTATTATTATTATCATCTTTCAAATTAAAAGTTAATTCTATTTTTCTCCCTCCCCCCCGGCCCCGATTGAGAGAGAAACCCCGGGTTTTACTGCTCCACGTTTTATCGCACAGGGGAGACTGGCAGTGTCACCACAGCATATGCTTGTGACATAAAGCTCGTCAGGACTTGGCCCGAACTAACTGCTCATATTTAGTCGTAAATATAGTACTGCAGCACAACATTCGTATTAAGGTCGTGACAGAAGAAATAAACGAACGTACACCTAAGAATGGATCAACCCTGCTCTTAGTTGGACCAGGTTTTTGCAGCTGGATGGTTAGCAGCAGCATTGAACCGGAACACATAACCTACATTCAGCCGATTAGTCATCAAACAAATAAATATATATATGTGTGTGTTATATATATATATATAAATAAATCAGGTCAAGTCAGTAAGCATTATCCGCGCAAGACTCGCGCTCCAAACAGCCGTCTGGGTTGGCTCTTGAATGCATTTTAACTGGCGGTGGACGGTTCCTGCTGTGTGCAAATCCACCCCCTGGTTGCAATGTTTTTTTTTGATAGCACCAGAATCTGCGCGCAGAAAGCAACAGAAACAGTCCCAAACACACTGCACATTCTAGCTCCCCTTTCTCTTTTCGTCAGGTAACTGGTAACACGTCTTTAACCTGTGTACCCCGTGCCCTTTCACATTTCCGATGGCCACGCTTTCTGCGACCATTAGCCATAGCCCAATCATTCACAGCCAGATCTCCCACGCACAAAGCATTCCAAGACCAGCGCCTAAATTAATAGCTCCGGATCCAGCCCCTTTCTATTTTTTTTTATACAAAAGAAAGGAAACGGTTCCATATTTACTGTATAATCAAGCGGTTTCTCTGCAGATTTGTGGCTTGAATTTCCACATGGGTCTGGGCTTACTCCGGAGGGTCCAGAATTGGTCAAATTCTTAACCGCAGTCTTTAACTCTGAGGCCGGTTTCCTTCGAGTTCTCTCGGGAACCAGAGACAACGAGACTCAGAGTTGATGGAGTAAATCGAGACCCAGGTGCAAGGACTCCCCATGGGGTCATTGTTCGATCCCTTGGAACTGTCCTTGCTAAATATTTGCAGAGCAACACTGAGTGCTACAGCAGACACACACGCGCGCGCGTGCGCACATACCACACACGCACACACCGCACACGCGCACATACAGACACACACCACACACGCGTACATACAGAGACACACACACACACACAGACACACACACACATGCAGACACACCCCACACACATATACAGACACACACACACACACACATACAGACACACACCACACGCACACACACAGACACACACGCACATACAGACACACCCCACACACAAACGCACACACACAGACACATACCACACACGCACCTACAGACACACCTCACACACACACCACACACACACACGCGCGCGCGCGTTTCAAAACATAAAACACGAGGAACGGAAACAAAAGAGCATGTGGTTGCAATTGATGGGAAAACACTCGTTTTCAAAACCTGTCCCATTTGCGGAACGCACTTGGATTCCTGAATGTCATTTGCAATCATATCACAGCCTGTTCTCGAAAGTCTCGTGGTGTTCCTCTGGTTATCGAGTCAGGCGTGACGTAAACAGGGTCGCTTTCCAGTGCTGCGCGCAGCAGCCCTGGAGCGTCTGCAACTCGTGGTAGGCGCTTACCTTCTTCAGTCTGCCGCTCTTAGTCCCCACAAAGACCACCGAGTCATCGTTGTAGACGTAGGATGCCACGGCTGTCATCCGGTCCTTGTCCTCGGTGAAGAGTGGCACACCTTCCACCAGCATAGAGCCTCCGAGTGGCTGATTTATATCCAAGCCGCAGAAATCATCATCAATCGGCACTGGCTGCAAAATAACAATAATACTTACGTTTTTGACATAATAGTAATAAGATAATAACCGTTACATTTGATCTGGCGCCTTATCACATCTTCGCGACGTCTCAAAGCGCTTCACAGGACGTGCTGTAACGTGAATTGACTGTATGTTCTGTGCGCACATAGCGCCGCGCAGACATCTCCAAGTGCTTCACAGAATGTATTGCAAAGTGAAGTGCTCGTGCATTTTGTACGTGTCAAGCGAAAGGCAAAATGGTTCTCAACGTGACTCATATTTCTCCAACCCCCCCCCACCCCCACCCCCCAACAAGCTTGAGTTAATTTCTGCACTAACTTAAAGACAAACGTACCCTTTCAAATACAGTGACGTGGTCTGGTTTACTAATGCCTCAATGCTCTCTGTGGAGCAGCAGTTTGCACGTGTACGTCACCGCACAGCAAGTCTAATCCAAGTCTCTAAAATGGGACCTGGGACTCTCTAGAGAGAGATCAGCAGTGACCAGCTTGACCTTACAGCACATGCCCGCTGAAGGCAATACTTGCGACTGACTGGTGAATGACAGAAATGATGGAATTTTACAACCCAGCACTGAAGGCCGCCCGGCCGGCTGCGCTTGTGTCCGTCCTCTGCCCTTTTATAATCATCCTTTTTCAAATCCTCGTCCAGGATTTCCACAGCAGCAAGAACTGCGGCGACAAACAAATGCTGTTCACGTCGGGAGGACGTCCCAAGGTGCTGGGCAGTCAAGCATTTGCACCTTAGCTGGGGGAAGGGATCAGGAGCACGGCATTCCTCCAAACGCATCGGAAGAAAGGCGTATTAACTCAGCGTGTGTGGCTCTCGCTGGCTGGGAGGTGACAATAATAATTGATCTCGCGCCTTATCACGTCTTCGAGACGTTTCAAAGCGCGTCACAGGATATACGGCAAAGCAAATTGACACGTGTTTTTTTGGGGGGCGAAATGTTCTCAGACATCTGTTCGGATCGCGGAACACTGGGGATCTGAGAGATCGCCGGGCACCCAACAGTGGCCGTCGCTGTGATGTAAATGCCACATTGCGAATGCAAAATGGCATCAGATTAAGTGAATTAGCACATGAATCTGAACTTTTTTTTCAGGAATACTAAACAGGGCATTAAAACGCTGTAAGACTTGCAACTACACGATTAGCCTCTGGTGGAAATGTGTTACTAATCTTCGCAAACGGAATCTCCATTTGAATAAATGTCATTCCCCACTGAATAAACAGTATCAGAAACGCTGTGCCTTAACCCAAACACGGGGGAGCGTTTAAAAGGGCAATGCTGTTCAGCTCGGGAGTGAAAGGCAGAGAAGAGTGCACTGTTCATTTGCAACAGGCATCTGTCGATTCTTTGTAGAACAAATTAAGACAGATTCCTGTTAGGAAATAATATCTCGGGATAATACAGTATATAGCTTGGGAGACCCCAAGTCGCGCAACTGCCAGGATGGTGGGAGGCAAACTGAATGGATCTTGGTCTTCTTTCCCTTAGCAATTTTTATGTTTATATTTGGCCAACTGATTAGTGTCCATTTCATCACCTGGTAAGTTCCTGTCGAATGCGATGTAACATGACATTTGGTGGTGGGGGGGGGAATGAATAATGTAAAATAAAGTCTCAGAGGTACAAGACAGGAACAACGAAAATAACATTCAGTGAGATAATGAGCAGACTGAATTTGTCAGCCCAATATACAAACTCCTTCCCTGCAGGTACAGCAAATACTTTGGCCGGTTTGAGCTGCAACACTTTTCTAATTACTTTGTACATAAAGAGACTCAAAATAGGTTGAAATAGCAGTTAACTGGAGGTCTTATTACCACACGTACTTCCTCTTTCCGCATGTGTCAGACACCTGGCTGGATCCCTCCAAAAAAAAACACCTAACATATGGCCATCTACTACTATTTGAGTCAATGATCCTTCAAGACCGGTCTCAAGACCCTCCTCTTGGGTTACCCTCCTAACCCTACCGCCCCCCCCCCACTCCCGGCCTCCGCCCTCCTCCCCCCTCCTTACCGCGAAAGTACAGCGCACGTCCTTCCCCAGGAGCCAGTTGAGCTCCAGGTTGCCTTCCCCGCGGTAGCAAGACTGGAGCCGGTCCTTGATCTGCAGGTTGATGTGCTTGACCACGAAGACGCAGAGGGCTGACTCGTCAGGCGGCCGCCTGTACTGCTTCTGTCCCTTGGAGAATATGGTGAAGAGGACGTCGTCATCGGTGGTGACGTTGAGCGACCTGGCCAGCACGCTGCCCGGCTTCGACAGGTAGGCCGCTTGCAAGAGGCGGTACTCCACCCCGTTCCGGAGGCAGCCGATGGGCAGCGAGACGTAAGAGTGGAACTTGGGGTCCTCCTTGCACAGGCGCACGATCCTCGAGGTGTAGAACTGGTCGCTGGTGGAGCCCGTCACCCCCTCGGTTTCCGGCTGGACGGTCAGGAAGTAGACGAAGTTCCCGAGCTCGAAACCGTAGACGTAGAAGATGTCGAAGTGGGAGACCATGGCCAGGGTGTCCGACGGGATCTTGATCAGCGAGGCCACGAAGTCGCTGTGGAGCACGTAGTCGAACATGGCCGAGGACTCGGGGTCCTGCGGCAGCTTGCGGCTGGAGATGGTCGGGAAGTAGTCCTGTTTGCCGTCCACGGCCGTGCCGATGAAGAGCTTGCCGTCCGCGTCCTCGGACGAGACGATGACCCCGTACATGGTGCCCGTCTCGTTCACGCTCGACAGGTAGTGTTCCTTCTTGTGCGAGGGCTCCACCAGGATGAACATGTCGTCAAGCCTCAGGAGCTTGCAGACCCCCTGGAAGAGGCTGCCGCAGGCCAGCAGCCGGTTCTCGGAGTAGTCGATGAGCAGCAGCTTGTTCACGTTGTTGGTCAGAGTCAGCGGCTCGTTGCAAGGCTGGACGATCAGAGGAGGGTAGCAGGATTTGTTGTCCTCCTCGGGGCCGGTTTTGTGAACCAGAAGAAGCGTCAAGTTGCTCGAGAGTTTGTAAATCCGATTGACAGCCCCCACGTAAACGTCGCCGGTTGTCCTGTGGACGGAGAGGTGGTTGAGCAGCCAGTCCCGATTCTCGACCGGGAAGATGACGTGTCCAGTGTCGCTCCACGAGGAATTAGGCAGGAAAATGAAAAGGAAAGCGAGAGGAAACAAGCACTTTGGCATCTTGCCACGACTCTTTCTCTGCTCCAATGCTGAGGGTGGCATTGGGAGCTCGACTCCACTTGGTACCCAAGCTCGGATCTTTACATGGCTCTGAACGCAAACAAAAGAGGAAATAAATACAAGGTTAACGTTAAAAAAAAAGAAACGCTTGCGCATGCACATCCAGTTGCGTTACGTTTAAGAAAGCCTTTAGGATTCGAATAGGCTTCCTTTATAAAATGTACGTAAAGCTAACAAAAGTTTTTTTTACTGCTATTTTCCCTCCTTTGCCTGAGTTAGTGACGCACCCGGGAGTGATTTAATGATTATTATGAACCATCTTTTTTTTAATTCGATTACAGCGCCTTTCGTTGTGGGAGGACTCCTCAAAGCGCTTTGCAGGGTTTACTGTAAAGGGTAGCAAGTGCCTTTTTGGGTGGACCACGTACTCGTGGGAGTGGCTGACTTTCTTCTACTGCCTTACGTACTGAGGCCAAACATCAGGGATTCAGAACTCAGAAAGACCAAACTCTCCAATTCTCAAAGCCCGAGCCTATTTCAGTTGATTTTTTTTTGCATTGCCTGGATTTAAACTGAATTCCTGAAGGAAAGCTACAATAGGGATTGGAAAACTATCAACCGGGTACATTAGAAAATCCGCAAGGTGACCAAAAAGTCATGATACCATTAAAATATCTAATAAGTCTTAAAGAAATGATGATATACATTTTTTGTGGGTTTAGAGCAGATATCACGACTTTTTGGTCACCCTGTAGATTCGAGCAGAGCATTTTTTGGTAAACTAATCGTGAGCTTCTTTTTTTTGACTCTTCGGCTGCGACACTGAGGTTGTTCTGTTCTAGTTTGACGATAGCTCCTTAACATTTCACAAGCATCGGCTCGAATACTTACAAGTCCACGGTGCTTTTATACAGCGGGTCGCAGAACGTCCAAGTCAAGTGGAAAGAATCCTAACTTTGCCACATGCTGGGCTGCGCACTGATCGATAACTTCTCCTGTGCTCGTAGCCTGAAGAAAAACAGGGAAAATAAAACATTTCATAAGTTAAAATGTACCTAGAGGTAGGGGGGAGGGGGGGGGGGGGGGGGTAAAGAGACTAATCCTGATTCAAGCACAGTCAATTCCCTCGGCATCATATTCTGTGAAGCGCTTTGTGATGTCTCAATGACGTGATAAGGCGCTGTATCAACTGCAAGGGTTATTATCATTATTATGGTTGCAGAATGATTATACTAGGTAAAATGCTCAATTTTTTTCCCTGTGGGCAAATCCATTCTGGTCTTCAGTGCTGAGCGAGGGAGGTGTGTCAAACAGAAGGCAGGGTGTGGCGATGTTGCTGGGTGCCTAAAGCAGCAATTAACGTCCTCGTTTCAGCGTCTGGGAGGCAGGCATTGCTTCCTGACAACTTGAACCGCCCGATTCTGTCCGGTGATTCGCACCTCGTGGGGAAATTCGGCGATCGCTGACTTGAACGAGGTGCAACTTTGCAAAGGCGGATCACCCAGCGGTTCGAACATAAAGGGAGGACTTGAGACAGGCAGACTGAGCTGCCAAAGCACGTCGAGGGCACCACCTTTCCCGACTCCCGATGGGAATCGACGACGCGATCGGCCCTCTGTTTAAAATTTGCGGCGCGCAAATCGGCTGCCGGGCTTGCCAGCAAGATATGCGCCCGCTGCATTTTACACGATGTGGCGCGAAGGGCTTTAAAGAGACGTCCTCCTGATGTGAAAGGCTCCGCTCCAAATGTAAGGGATTATTCGTATAAAAAACAGCCTTGGTCGAACCGCAACACTGAGCTGCACATTACTGCCAGTCACATATGCTTAGGGTGAATTTGGCCTAGTGCGGGGGGTGGGGGTGGGGGTGGGGGGCTTTATGAAGTCGTCTGTGCAACCCTACCTCCCTAATGGACTTCACTGCATGATAGCAGTGCTTACATGCGTTGTCAGCTCATTAACGTGCTCTGAGCCATGCTGTTAAGAACATGATGAAAAATCAAGAGATTTGGCACTTAAATGCAAAACTGGGCACAAGGTGCCGTCTGAGCTGCATCAGGGGCCTTTTTTCTCCCCCATATATAAAGAGAAAAACAAAGCCTTAATTCGGAACGACCCCGAGGTCCCAGATCTCCTTTGAGAGCCCGAGAGAGAGAGAGAGAAAAGAAAAACATTCCCAATTTTAACAACTGAAATAGTTTCTCGTCTCGTCTCTTTTATTAGCGCGTAGGGGGAAAAAAAACATTGAAACCCGTATTTTTCCCCCCCTCCTTTATCCGCCACCCACACTGTAATCATAGTTTTTGGCAAGCTAAATTCTAATTGCGAGTTGCGAGTTGCGAGTTTCGACAGCTGTAGTTTCTCCCCTGCTCGCCGAAGTAATAATTATACTGGAAAAGTACAAAGCGCAGCAGTTTTATTATAATTCCTTCATAAACCTGGCACCTAACCACAGTGCCTCATCTGCCACCTCATCTGGTTGGATCGACCAGCTCTCTGGGATGGTAATTTGAACCTCCTTACGTTCGAAGATTGGAAAGAAAATGTGAAACTGGCTGCTGTGTTTCGCCCATAAAATACAGTTAATCCGCTTTACAATAAACACTGTACAATATATTCCGTGACGTGCTTTGAGGCCTCTCACTGACATGATAAGGCGCTATATCAAATGCAAGGATTATTATTATTAAAACGACTGCGCTCTTCCTTCTACCCAAAGAAAAACATTCTTCGATTTTTTACCCCCATCGCCAAAACTCCTGCCTCGTAAAGCTTCTTTGAGAAGAGGAAGGAGCTTGATGGCTTGTTGAATTCTTTGCCCCATCAACACTAACGCTCAGCTGGAAGTAAACTCCCGGCAATTTCCCCAACTGAACCAGTGTTGGTGGACAAATACTGCAGGAAGGTCAAAATATCTGAGCAGAAGGTCACATGTTAAAGTAGCTTCTCTGCACTTCGGCTGACGCACCTCAGTTGTCAACTCGGTGGCAGGAGCGGCGAGTCAAAGTGACTTAATAATAATAATAATCCTTGCATTTGACATAGTGTCTTCTCGCCTCGTTGAGATGGCTCAACGTGCTTCACAGAAATGGATTGGCCGTGTATGTTGTGGGTGAAACTTGGGGAGAAGAGGCTGCCTTTAAACTAACCATCGATTGCTCCGAGCGCAAACTCGATGGGCCAAATGGCGTCCTTTTACGCAGTGAATGTCTATCATCGCTTCAACTGCAGTTTGTAATTAGCAGCCGAACATATGAACCATTGAAATCCAGCCAAGGTACAATAACCGTCGTGTTATCCAACACACAGTGTTGTAAGTATTTGAATAAAACCCCCAAAACCTCAGGTGGAAATACAATCACGACCAACGAGAGAACGTTGGAGGATAAGTTGTTTCCTCGAGCACTAACTACCCTTTTATCCACCTCTCCCCAGCCAGCAAACCTGTTCAAACAAGATACAATCGAGTGTTAAAAAGCAAAGACTTCAATGAGACTTGCAGCTTATTTCATTTCCTTTGTGTGCGCATGTTTTTTTAAAATATATGAAAACATTGGGAAGACAGATCGAGACGCAGCCATTCTAAAGAAACAATAAACTTATGGGGTGAATATTTTTGGACTCGGGGTTGTTCTACGATGACACAACAACAACAACTTACATTTATTTATATAGCGTCCCGGAGCGCTTAAGACACAAAGAGAGTAATCTGCTTTAAGGACCTAACAGTGCAAGGGAACTGAATGAACAATACACAGCCAATTCCCAAACATTGCAGCACGTCAAAATGAACTCGCTCGCTCCTGCTAATTCATCCTTCACCCCCACTCTCCCACCACCCCCATCCGCCCCCCCCCCCCCACCACCCCCACTCCTCCTCACACTGTTGTGCTTGGTGACTCTTCTCAACCATTCACTTCCAAAGCACTTTACTTTGGGAACGTTCAATTTCAATCACAAAAGAGGCATTGATGGCGAGACTCTTTAAATATGATGTTGTGTGAAAGGAAAGCGCACAACAACTCTGCGTGGGTCCCCTCACCACATTAAACACAGAGTTCAGCCATCACCCAAATCCCCGGCTCTCCGAAGGGCAGAGTTGTGCTATTTGCCCCAGGGCACAACAGCGACTGCAACAGTACATCTGAAATGATCCTTGCACTAAAAGGTACATTGGTCGCAGACACGAGATGCCTTTCACCGTTTTAACAGGATTTATCCCAGTTTAACAGGATCTGCTGTCCATGAAGCACTTAAAAGGGTAGATCCGGCAAACGAGATTCAAGGGTAGGAGTTAATGGGGACATTTTGCAAGCAAAGCGATCGTTCGATTCTCAATTCAGGTCGCTACTTATGGGTTTAGCTTAATGAAGCGAATCCAATATATTGATCAGTTTTTATTACCAGCAGAATGCCCCACAAACAGGCTCTAGCTGCACACAGAGTGGTGGAAAGCAGCGAAAAGTTATGGCTTTCCATTAGTGTCCTTCAAAGACAACAGTCTTCGTGAGCGCGCTGGCATCAAGAATGCAAACCAGAAACCACCGAGAGACATGTTTCTGACAACCCAGTCCTTGGGTTGCATTTGAACCGCATTAAAAGGTCGTCACGCACAGTTTGTGGCCAAATCGCTCTGAGAGAAATGGGGTAAACAGGAGAACGTAGACCTCGGAGCACGGGAACCAAAACACCACCTCAGAAAGAGGGGTGTTTAATAGCCGACCGCCTGCACCCCTCAACACGAGCAGCCCCCAGTCGTTAAAAAAGAACCTTACAAGTTGATCAAAACCTCCAAAGGTCTCGCCTTCAATTGATAAACTGGTTAAAAGCAAGAGCCGGTCTTGACAGATGTTCGATCGCCAGTTTCATCACATGTTAGGTTTCGCTCTTAAGGTTTTAAAATGCCTGTGCATCCTCAAAAAGCAGGTTAATTCTGATCTGTATTGCCTCGTGATGCCACTAGGGTGAACTGAATGTCAGTAGTGGGATTTGTGACAGATTATGTTTCCAAATCTCTTTTCATTTATTTTACATTTTTTTTAAAATCACCTTTTTTTGGAATCTTCCCTCCCTCCGTTAAAAGAA